TCTGTATTTCAGTTATCTCTCAATTATATTTCCAGAGCCATTTTAAAATTGTATCAGCATTCCCTGAGTTTGGCATTTGCTGTGAAACAGATCAACTCAAATCCAAGATTCTTGTCTAACGTTACTCTGGGATTTTTTATCTGTGACAACTATTTTGATGCTCGGCTGACTTATCGTTCCACTTTGGAGCTGCTCTTCCGATCCAGCCAGTTGGTTGTCAACTACCGATGTGATATCAAGGAGAATCTCATTGTAGCCATTATTGGCGGATTTGGTGCTGATATCTCATTCTTCATGTCAGATACCATAAATCTTTATAAAATCCCCCAGGTAAGATACAGTGTTTATGAAAACTCGTCCATGTGGCAAAATGGAAGGGAACAGGGAATGATTATTTACCAAGTAGGGATTAGATTCTAGATTAGATTTCAGTGATGCATATAAAGGGCCTGATGAAATTTGGGAGTTGGAATTAAGCCATTTCTGATGCACCACTTTGAAAATAGTGTGTTAAAATATGGTGTCTGAAAAGGGAGCAGAAGCTGAGAACTTAAGGTGGTCATCTAAGTGTCATTTTATCTTCAGCCATGGAAGCTAACAGGGATTTGTACCATAGAATCATTACTGAAGTCTAAGTATACTATGTCCTGTGCATTTTGCTGTTCCACTAATTTAGTCACTTTGTAAAAAAATGACATAAGATTTGTTGGGCATGATCTGTTTTTGACAAACCCATATTGTTGGCTACTGGTTATAACTTTGCTCTCTTGCAGTTGTTTGTAGTTGTAGTTGCTTGTAGTTGTAGTTGGGTGTAGTTTTTTTTAGCAGTTTTTCCAATACAGTATTTAAAAAATGCTCCTTTGCTCCCTCTTGTGTTAGTAGTGAAATAATACTTAAAAGTTGGGGTTTTTTTTCTCCTTGTGAATAGTGACTAATTTAAATATTTATATACTGAAGGCAATGAAGGTGCTGTTTGTAAGCCACAGAGGGAAAAATAAAAAAGTCATCCAGATAATAGTTAATGTAAAAAGGCATAGAAAAATAGTAAATTTGAATTCTTCTTCTTCTTCTTCTTCTTCTTCTTCTTCTTCTTCTTCTTCTTCTTCTTCTTCTTCTTCTTCTTCTTCTTCTTCTTCTTCTTCTTCTTCTTCTTCTTCTTCTTCTTCTTCTTCTTCTTCTTCTTCTTCTTCTTCTTCTTCTTCTTGTCCTCCTCCTCTTCCTCCTCCTCCTCCTCCTCCTCTTCCTCTTCCTCCTTTTACTTTGATTTTACTTTGCTTTACTTTAATTTCTGTTCAGCTTTCTTCTCCTTTTTCTTCCATCCCAGACACTACCATCGCCATCACCATCACCATCACTGCTATTATCCCAACCTATTCCTTCTCCTTCTCCTATTTCTTCATCTCTTTAAGTTTACTAACTTTACTTTAACATTGCTTCTCTACCTTCTCTTCATCCTTCTCAGCCACCATCATGCCATGCAACAATTTTCCTTCATCCTCTCTCAGTCAAACCTATGGGACTGCTTTGAGCATTGCTTATGTCACCTTGAGTTCCTGAAGAAAAGGCAGGAGATAAATTTAAACTAAATTTATAAAGTTTATAAAGTTTATAAATGTATAAACTAAATAAGGGATAAGAATTAAATAAAGGATGCATTTCAACCATAACTAACCAACTGCACATTTTATTTTAGCTCGCTTATGGCTCTTTTGCCCCAAACAAGCATGGGACAAAGATGGCTGCTTCCTTTTACCGCATGGCTCCCAGTGAAACCCTTCAGACTATGGGGATAATCCATTTGCTTAAGCATTTTGGATGGATATGGGTTGGCCTTATAATTCTGGATGATGACAGTGGAGACAATTTCCTCCAAGCCCTGGAGCCACTTCTGTCTGAGAACAGGCTCTGCTCTGCTTTTCTGGAGAGAATTCCCAAACAAGCTTTTTTTTCTATGTTACATTCTCCTGTAGTTGGTAGAATAAATGTTTATTTGAGGAAAACCATAGTCAATACATTCATCTTCTATGGGGAAAGCAGCACAGCGATGCTTCTGTTTATGTTCACAAAATATACATACATAATCCTTGGAAAAATGTGGATTCTCACTGCTCAAACAGAACTAACGTTAACAAACCTTCATCAACCCTCAGATTTGCAATTGTTTAATGGAGCAATTTCTTTTGATATTCACTCCAATGAACTGCCGGGGTTGAACAAATTCCTTTGGGCCCTGAAACCATTACAGATGCAACGAGCTAGTTTGTTCAAGGAGTTTTGGGAGCAAGGCTTTGATTGTGTCTTTTCAGACAGCACTAAACCAATGGAAAGTGATGAAGCATGTACTGGGAGAGAAGATCTGAAAAAGCTTCCTGCACATTTATTTGAAATGAGTGGCCACAGCTACAGTATCTACAATGCAGTCTATGCTGTAGCACATGCTGTTCATGGCATGAACTTGCTTAGATCTAAACACAAAAAATTAGCAGAGAGTACAAAGGATGAACTTCAAGATCAAGACATCTGGAAGGTAATAACATGCATATCAAACACCTTCATTGCCAGGAGCAGATTAGTAGAATCTAAAGGTGTACTGAGTTTCTTCCTCTTTCTTAATTTAGTGAGGAGATAGTGGTGCATAAATAGTCCTCAAGTTATGAACCTAAATCTTTCTCATTAGGGCCGAAGTTCAAAATAATTGTAAATGAACTGCCTCAGGTAATGACCAGACATCCCCAAAAGTACACATATAGATTGGGTGAAACCAGGCTTAATAGCAGTAACTGTGAGAGGGATCTTGGAGTCTTAGTGGACAATCAATTAAATATGAGCTAACATTGTGTGGTGGCAGCCAAAAAAGCCAATGCAATCCTATGTTACATTAACAGAAGGATTCAATCAAGATTATGTGAAGTACTAATACCACTCTATAAAGCCTTAATAAGACCACATCTGGAATATTGCAACCAGTTTTGGTCACCACGCTATAGAAAAGATGTAAAGACTCTAGAAAAAGTGCAGAGAAGAGCAACAAAGATGAGTAGGGGACTGAAGGCTAAAAATATGAAGAATGGTTACAGGAACTGGACATGGCTAGTCTAGAGAAAAGAAGGATTGGGGGAGACATGATAGCAGGGTTCCAATACTTGAGGGGCTGTCACAAAGAGGAGGGGAGTCAACCTATTTTCCAAAGCACCTGAAGGCCAGACAAGGAACAAGGGATGGAAACTGATCAAGGAACGATTCAACCTAGAAATAAGGAGAAATTTTCTCACAGTGAGAATAACCAACCAATGGAACAGATTGCCTTCAGAAGTTGTGGGAGCTTCATCACTGGAAGCTTTCAAGAAGAGACTGGACTGCCATCTGCTTGGGTGGCAAGTTGGACTAGATGACCTACAAGGCCCCTTCTGTTATTCTGATTCTGCTCTCTACAAGGCTTTCAGTAAACGAATGCATAATTGTTAAGTGGGGGTGTGGGAGATTATTGGAGGCCTAAAGCAGGCATTAGCCTACCTGCCTCAGACTTCCCAAGGCTTCCCCCACCATACTCCATGCTTCACCACGATGTAAAAAAGATGTTGAGACTTTAGAAAGAGTACAGAGAAGAGCAACAAAGATGATCAGGGGACTGGAGGCCAAAGCATATAAGGAAAGGCTGCTGGAATTGGGTATGTCTAGTTTAATGAAGAGAAGGATGAGGGGGGGACATGATAGCAGTGTTCCAATATCTTAGGGGCTGCCACAAAGAAGAGGGAGTCAAGCTATTTTCCAAGGCACCTGAAGGCAGGACAAGAAGCAACGGATGGAAACTAATCAAGGAAAGAAGCAACCTAGAACTAAGGAGAAACTTCCTGACAGTGAGAACAATTAACCAGTGGAACAACCTGCCTCCAGAAGCAGTGAATGCTCCAACACTGGAAGTTTTTAAGAATAGACTGGAGAGCCATTTGTCTGAAATGGTGTAGGGTTCCTGCCTGAGATGACCTCCAATTATTATGGACTTGATGACATTATTATTATTATTATTATTATTATTATTATTATTATTATTATTATTATTATTATTATTATTATTATTATTATTATTATTATTATTATTATTATTATTAACAATGGATGGAAACTCATCAAGGAGAGAAGCCACCTGGAATTAAGGAGCAATTTCCTAACAGTGAGAACAATTAACCATTGGAACAGCTTGCCTTTAGAAATTGTAGGTGCTTCATCACTGGAGGTTTTTAAGAAAAAACTGGACAGCCACCTACCTGAAATTGTGTAGGGTTTTCTGCTTGAGCAGGGAATTGGACTAGAAGACTTCCAAGGTTCCTTCCAGCTCTGTTCTGATTGATTGATTCACTATCTCTTCAAAGCCATCCGACCTGGAATACCTTCAGCATGTGCCTAGTGTTCCACCAATCTGGTGTTGATCTTTCCAAGGTTGAGTAGGATGTGTTACAAAATGATGGCAGGACTGCTCAGACTTTTGCAGGAGAATGTTGAAAGGGAAATTTAATGGGAGCAACCTGAACCAACATGGTTCAGACCAACAGTGTTGGTCACCAGAATACGAGATGCTGGAAAAAGTGCAAAGAAGAATGATAAGATGATAGGGCTTGGAGCTTACATCTTATGAAGTTAAATGAACTGAATGCATTTCACCTAATGAAGAGAAAGCTAAGGGGAAATGTGATAACAATCTTCCAGGAATTGAAGGGCTGTCCCCTAGAAGACTTTCTTCTTCATGACACCTGACGGAACCAGAAAAACTTTGCCAAGTAAAGTAATAAAGAATATAGAATAACAGAGTTGGAAGGGACCTTGTAGGTCATCTAATCCAACCCCCACCCAAGCAGGAGACCCTATACCAGGGGTGTCAAACTGCCGGCCCGTGGGCCAGACGTATCACGATGAAACTGCACCCACCTCATTGCCAGCAATGGGGAAAAAGTTCCAATATGCCATGCGATGTTATGTGATGTCGTGAGTTTGACATGTCTGCTCTACACCATTTCTGACAGATGGCAGTCCAGTTTCTTCTTGAAAGCTTCCAGTGATGAAGCTCCCACAAATTATGAAGGTAATCTGTTCCATTGGTTGATTGTTTTCACTGTCAGAAAATTTCTCCTTATTTCTAGGTTAAATCTCTCCTTGATCCGTCTCCATCCATTATTCCTTATCTGGCCTTCAGGTGCTTTGGAAAATAGGTTGATCCCCTCCTCTCTGTGATAACCTCTCAAAAATTGGAACCCTGCTATCATGTCTCCCCTAGTCCGTCTCTTCACTAGACTAGCCATGCCCAATTCCAGCAACCGTTCTTCATATGTTTTAGCCTCCAGTCCCCTAATCATTTTTGTTGCTCTTCTCTGCACTTTTTCTAAAGTCTCAACACCTTTTTTATAGTGTGGTGATCAAAACTGTTGCAGTAGTCTAGGTGTGGTCTTACTAATACTTTATAGAGTGGTATTAGTACCTCACACGATTGTGATTACTGAGTAATACTGCTAGTTTGCTTCCAGGCCCAATTCAAACTGTTGGCCATTACTCCTGAAGCCTTTCATCTCATGGGACCTGACTATCTGAGGAACCATCTTGTCCCAATTAGATTGACCCATTCCACCCAGTCAAGCCAGGAGGGCATAATGCGTATCCAATTTTGACTTACAGGATCTAGGAAGAGGGCCTTTTCAACTGCTGTCCCATGGGACATTTACCCTCAGTGGCGATGCAAGCCCCCAGCCTTCTAGTTTTCTGGAAGAGTATTAAGACCTGCTTTATCAAGTATCATGGGTGTTTAAAAGTATGAATCAGCCCTGGGGATGGTTGGTGACTTGAGAGTCCAACAGCCTCGTCAACTTTATAACCTTGCTTTATTCATCTCTTTGTTCCCTTTCATTGTTATTTAGCTTCACCAGTTTCTCAAAGGCCTTTCATTTAATAATTCCCTTGGAGAAACTGTTTCCATCAACCATCATGGAGAAGTGCTTTCTGGATTTGATATTACAAATGTGGTCATGTTTCCAAACAACTCCTATCGTAAAGTGAAAATTGGAAAGATGGATCCCAAAACACTTGCAGGAAACAAATTTGTCATTCATGAAGATTTAATTGTTTGGCATAAAGATTTTAATCATGTATGGACTTTGAGGAATTGTATTATTTTCAGTGGAAGATTTGGAGATCAGGGATAAGTTAGTTTGTGTACCTTGATTTTGGGTCATTTAATCAGTTGAAATCGTACTCAAAGTCTGGCTGATTTTCCTGCTCTGGCAGAATTTTAACTGGCAAATAATTAACCAGGGGGGGAGAGGTCCTTGGGGGAAGATGGGGAATTTTGCAAAGCTTCTGACCTGGTTGTACAAACAATAGTATAAAATGTGAGTGATTGACTCCTAATGTCATGATTGGTAAAAAAAACACCCAGAAAAAAATATGAAGAGCTGGAGGTCAGAAGCATGCTTAAGAATGTTATTTTTTTATTTGGGGACTGCTTTTACTTAGATAAGTAATCAGTCTCACAGCATGTATTTTTAAAAAGTATTTCTCCTCTTCTTCAATTAATCCAGAGAGGGGAAGGATAGGAATAGCTTGAATGCAACTATATGCAATCTTTAGGAAGTGTTGGAGAGATTTCCAGGTCTGGCCCTTCATTTCATGATATTACCTGCTATTCTATTTAGATTAGAGGAGGGTTTTCCAGTATTACTCAAGGCTTCAGTCCTAAATTCCATCCTGGTTTATCAATAGGTTTTGCCCCGTTCAGTGTGTAATAATCCCTGTCCTGCTGGCTATCAGAAGAAAAAGAAAGAAGGGGAACCATTTTGCTGCTACGATTGTGATGCATGTTCTGATGGGAAGATCTCAAACATGCCAGGTAAATTATTTCTTGTTTTACTCTACTCTAAACAGCCCGGCACACGCATCTGCATAGCTCCATTTGTGTGAGTGGCGGGTGCAAGCACCTTCCACTCACATAAATCAACATTCACACACATTCTGAGTTTGGCTGGTTTGACAAGGCTAATTATAGAGACTATGGCACTAATGAAGGATTATTTGAAAAGGGGAGATAACATGGATATTGCATACTTATCAATAAATGACAGAAAACCACATTTAATACTCCTGAAGGACCTAGCCTGGAATATCAAAGTCATTTCAAAGCAACATTTCAAGACAAGACAAATACTTTCCAGGAGGAAATGTATGTAATGCTACAACAGATACAAATAACAATAACTTTAAACCATGAAGAGATCAAACACAACATTGACAACATAAATGAGCACATTTCTAATTTAAACTCACAATAAAAAAATACTCAGAAAATGATGGTAAAGAACGAACAAACAAATCAGATAACAGAACATAAACTAGAAGAAAATGACTTAATCAGTGAAGCTACAAATGAAGAGAATTATAATTTAACACAAACAGGAAAAAACCTACAAGACTTGGACATAATAACAAAAATGGAAAAGATACTTTATTCATTAGAACATCAAAATAAAAGTGAGGATAAGAAAGAAGACTTAATGAAATGGACTATAGAACTGCCAGGGGAAGCATATATTTTATGCATTCTGTCTTCTCCACTCTCAACAACACTTACAAAAATACAAGAACTTCCTGGCAAGTGGAATATATCAATTTGGAAAGCTACTTGGCAAAAGAAGAAGGCCAGAGACAGATTCAAGAGATTTGACTCACCCTACCAGATGGAGTATTACATGAACAAACACTTGTTTGAATACGGTTAAAAGAACAGATAACTTTGGATATAAAGGGGCCTTAAAATAAGAGGGATAAGAGATATAAGTAATATAGTATTTTAATAATATATAAAATATAAAAAATATTGGGATGATGTATGTGAATGAAAAGTTGAAATTCAAAGGTAAATTAAGTTAAAGAGAATTAGGGTTAAGGAATGACTGAAATATTGAGGGGAAATTAAGCTTAAATAAGAACTTCAAAAATAGAATATATAGTGATTTAACAAATTAATTTTTATAACTTTTTATAACACATGAAATATGAAAACATTGGGATGGTATATCTAAATGGAATATCTGGATATTTAGATGATAAATATTGAGAAAATAATCATAATAATAATGATGATGATGATGATGATGATGATGTTGATGATGATGATGATGATGATGATGATGATGTTGGAAGGGAAGTCATCAAGTCCAACCCCCTGCTCAGGCAGGTAACCCTATAGCATTTCGGACAAATGGCTGTCCAGTTTCTTTTTAAAAACTTCCAGTATTGGAGCATTCACTGCTTCTGGAGGCAGGTTGTTCCACTGGTTAATTGTTCTAACTGTCAATTCTAGGTTGCTTCTCTCTTTGGTTAGTTTCCATCCATTGCTTCTTGTCCTGCCTTCAGGTGCTTTGGAGAATAGCTTGACTCCCTCTTCTTTGGGGCAGCCCCTGAAATATTGGAACACTGTTATCATGTCCCCACTCATCCTTCTCTTCATTAAACTAGACATACCCAATTCCAGCAGCCGTTCCTTATATGTTTTAGCCTCCAGTCCCCTAATCATCTTTGTTGCTCGTCTCTGTATTCTTTCTAGAGTCTCAATATCTTTTTTACATCGTGGTGACCAAAACTGGATGCAGTATTCCAAGTGTGGCCTTACCAAGGCATTGTAAAGTGGTATTAATACTTCACATGATCTTGATTCTATCCCTCTGTTAATGACTGTTCTACCCCTCTGTTATGACTGATAAGAATTGTTTGAATATTAAGGAGAAATTAGGCTTAAATAAGAATTATGAAAATGGGTTATATGGTGAACTAATAAGATGATTTTTATATAAACAACACAAGTTGATAGAAAAATGTCATATATGGACATTATTTGTACAAACATGAAAAAAATGTTTATCTGGTTATCTCCGAGACCGCCTTCTGCCTCCGATTACCTCTCATCGGCCGATACGCTCCCACAGAGAGGGTCTCCTCAGGGTGCCGTCAGCCAAACAGTGCCGGCTGGCGACCCCCAGGGGGAGGGCCTTCTCTGTTGGAGCTCCCACCCTATGGAACGAGCTATCCCCAGAGATCCGGGTGATTCCGGATCTCCCCTCCTTCCACCGCACACTCAAGACATGGTTATTTAAGTTAGCAGGACTGGCCTAAGGGTTATTTTAATTTGGTTTTATTCGGCCTTAGAATAATATTTCATTTTAATTAATATTTTAAATTTTGTATTTTTGTATTCAAGTGTTTGTTTTAAATGGCTGTAAGCCGCCCTGAGTCTGTAGGGAGAAGGGCGGGGTAGAAATACAAGAAATAAATAAATAAATAAATTTAACCATTTAGGTATTGAAAATATTAACAATTATACTTGTTTAAGGTTAAAGAAAGAGAATACTATTGGGAGAAGGGAAGGTCAAAGAAGTATACTATTAATTAATATACTAATTGTGGAAGTACAAAAATTAATTATTGTTGACTGTTAATTAACTACCATTGATTTTTTCTTCAAAATTTATCAACCAAGACAACACGCTGTACACTAGGCACTAAGGATTGTTATTGCAAAAAATCAATAAAATATTTCTAAAAAAAGATTGAATGTATGCCTTGTTTTATGCATATGTAATATATGTGACAGTTGTAAAAATGTGCAGGTGGCATCAACCACCTGAGCTGGACTCACCTTCTTGGCTTTGTGGGTCATAACATTACATGTCTGGATTTCAGGAACTTCTGAAATATTTCTAGTATGGTGCTTCCTGAATGTGATTATTACTTATAGAGAAGATTCCCACCTCAATACGTTATTTATTAGAACTCATCTAATGATCTAATCCTGTCCTTTTCAAACCTAGCCACTTTAAGAGGTGAAGATTTCAGCTCCCAGAATTCTCCAACCATAATTCTGAGTCTAGACTTCTTAAAGTGGCCAAGTTCAAAAAATCAAGATTTAATCTAATCAAGGAGAGAAGCAACCTAGAACTAAGGAGAAACTTCCTGACAGTTAGAACAATTAACCAGTGGAACAACCTGCCTCCAGAAGCAATGAATGCGCCAATACTGGAAGTTTTTAAGAAGAAACTGGATAGCCATTTGTCCGAAATGGTATAGGGTTTCCTGCCTGAGCAGGAGGTTGGACTAGATGACCTCCAAGATCCCTTCCAACTTTATCATCATCATCATCATCATCATCATCATCATCATCATTATTATTATTAATCATGACAATTAGATTCCATACTTCATGACCTCTCTCTTATTTGCAGACACGATTGCCTGTTCTGAATGTCGAGAAGATCAATATCCAAGTAAGGACAAAGTTCGATGCATCCCCAAAATCATAACATTTCTAACTTTTGAAGAACCTTTAGGAATCAGCTTAGTTGTGGTTGCTGTTTTATTTTCAGTCATTACCATGTTCACACTTGGAATATTTATTAAGTATAAAGACACCCCTATTGTTAAAGCTAACAACAAGGACCTCACTTACGGTCTTCTCATCTCCCTTCTGCTTTGCTTTCTCTGTTCTCTTCTCTTCCTTGGAAAACCTCTCCAACCGATTTGCTTCCTCCGACAATCTGCATTTGGCATTATCTTCTCTGTGGCTGTCTCTTCTGTATTGGCTAAAACTATCATGGTCATTGCAGCATTCATGGCCACCAAACCAGGATCCAGCATGAGAAAATGGTTGGGCAAAAGACTGTCCATCTTAATTGTCCTTGTCTGCTCTTTCCTTCAAGCAGGCATTTGTCTGGTGTGGATGATCACCTCTCCCCCCTTTCCAGAATTTAATATGCGATCAATGACTGAAGAGATCATAGCAGAATGTAATGAAGGCTCTGTTGTGATGTTTTATCTTGTCTTGGGCTATATGGGGTTTCTGTCTCTGGTCAGTTTCATGGTGGCTTTTTTAGCTAGGAACCTGCCAGACACATTCAATGAAGCCAAGTTCATCACTTTTAGCATGCTGATGTTTTGTAGTGTTTGGTTGTCTTTTGTTCCAACGTATTTGAGCACCAAAGGAAAGTATATGGTTGCTGTGGAAATCTTCTCCATCTTAGCTTCTAGTGCTGGTTTATTGGGATGTATCTTTTTTCCCAAATGCTACATTATTTTGCTGAGGTCTGACCTCAACAGCAAAGAGCAACTTGTAAAGAAAAAGCATTTTTGATTTTTAAATTGTGGCTGTATGTATTTCTGCTTTGAAATGGAATTAGCAATCCTTTTCTGGGGAGAAAAAACAGGCTTGTGTATTAGGTCTGCCAACTTTATTGATACAGAAAATATTTGGTATGTATAACAGTGTGTCAAATTCTTATAAATGGAAATGAAAAACAGAACTTTTCACTGTATAATGAGTGACTCTGCTTTTAATGAAGCACTTTATTTCTGGTTATTTCCATCACCTATTCTAAAAGAAAAATTGAGTCTTCTTCAAAGGGAGCTGCTCTTTAGTAACCAATGATCCAATACATAGGTAATATAGTTTGGATCTTATCATGGAAGGAAGTAAAGGAAGGAAGGAAGGAAGGAAAGAAAGAAAGAAAGAAAGAAAGAAAGAAAGAAAGAAAGAAAGAAAGAAAGAAAGAAAGAAAGAAAGAAAATCTGTGGACTGTAAATCATTGAGCTACAATAATGTCAGAATATCTGAGCAATTAGAAATGTATCTAATTTGTTTTTCCCCAAGAATTATTTATTCTTATGCCCTGGTAAGGCAATGGGGGGTTTTTTGGGGGGGGAGGGGGAACTACCAGCTAAGCTGGAGAGAGGGGTCAAGTAGGGTGCAGCTTACAGTCATTGCATAGCTGCAAGTAGCATTAGTTTGACTTCCCCCAAGATAGCACTTATACTTATATACTGCTTCACAATGCTTTACTGCCCTCTCAAAGTGGTTTACAGAGTCAGCATATTGCTCCCAACAATCTGGGTCCTCATTTTACAATAGCTATTGCTATTACCTGCTTGCCCTCATATTGGATTTGTTAGACAGATTGCAGAACATGTATATATTTACCAAACAGTTGAACTTCAAGGAATGTTCAAAGATCACCACCTAATTGGGGAACAGATGTATTGGGTGGATGAATGATCTGTATTTTCCTAAGGTATAGTGAAGCTATGGAATTTTGTATGTCTTCTTAACTATAACTAGGGCCAAGGAAACACAGGTTGAACTCCACCTTATGATTTACTGGGGGACTTAATAGAGTTCAAATGTAGGGACAGCAGCAGGAAAGCTCTTTCAAGACTTTGGAGGAAAGGTAGGATAAGTCTTCAAGAAAAAAAAAGTGCCAAGGAAAAGTAAACCAAGATAAGCAATGTATTACACTAATTTTGCACTTTGTACCAATATTTTTACAGAAGAATAAGGAATCCCTACAACAGGATCCTCAGTGACTCTTTTTAGCTTATTTGTACTTAATGGTTGCACAGATTTGAGTCATGAGTATTTATTTTATGCAGAATCCCATGGGTAATGGTTAAGTATACAGAAATAATTATATAAAATTGTTTTATGTGTTATCTATTTAAAGAGCTAAGAAAATGGTTGTCTCAAAAGGTGCAATACAGAAATAACAGCTCTCCAAACCAAGGAGGTTCCATTGCAGATATGTCTGTTTATTGGCAATTAACCTAAATAACTATCATTATTGCTTTATGACACAGATGCAACAGCTTTCCAAGAAATACTGAAAAAGAATTCATAAGTCAGTCTTGAAGAGGTTATAAAAACTTACACGTCTGCAGCCAAGAGTCTGGTGGTGATTTTCATTCATTGGATCAGGCTTATCCATCACGGCTTGCTTTGCTAACCTTGTTGATGTCAACCCATTGGATGAGAGACCTGAAATAGTTACATGTGTAAACTGAACATGTTCCTTGATTTTGTAGTTGATGCAAAATAGTCTCACCAAATGTAGTCCTGGGATTGTAGCTAAACACAAGCAAGCCACTTCTATAGAAAATGCTGAGAGTAGTGATTATACTGTGGTTGTTGGTTGACATGAAGTGCCAAACAGAAGCGACATCTTGCTCCAGAAGTGATCCTTCTCCTCTCCTTCATGAATGGTATAAGCCAGGAAACTTCCTCATTGGTGGGATCACAGCTCAAATTGCCTATCTACTAAAGCAGCATTTTTTTGATGAGCCTCCTTCGCAGAATTCATTTATGCCCCCCCTGTAAGAAATTCTCTTTTTCTTTTCCTTCCACTCCACATGTCATTTGAAACTGCAGAACAAAAAAAAAAACCTCAAGGATGTAGCAGAGAATATTGCAAGTTTTCACATCAATTTTTAAGAGCTCTATTTGTAATCAGAGTTTCTGAAGCATCAACAGTGTATCAGTCTCAAAGAGTCTTTTGGAATCTTAAAGACGCTCAATTTTTTATTGCATATGTTTTTGTGGATGAGTTGGTTCATCTCTAAAGCCTTATATAGTAATAGAATAGTTAGTTCACAATGCTTTCTGTTGATGAATATGATTCAGGGCATTGGATTTATTGTGTGTAGTGTTGGGAAATGATAGTTACCGCCTGACTGCTGATTCAGCCCTTGCATAAAATTACCAAAAACCTTCTATGTACTTCAGACCAAATTGAAAGTATAGAGAAGTGACTTTTGGGGAGCAGTTCACCACATCCTCCCCAGCTACCTATCTGGAACACAATGGCCAATATGTGCATCAGTGTCTCATGACTACATCAAAGTCTTCCAATTGCATACACCAAATGAATCATAAACTGGACCTTGCATTAATAAAAAATAACAAGAATCTTTCTGTTTTCCAGCTCTACAGCTGAATTCCACTTCACAGTTTCCTAAATGCTAGTCCAGTTCCTAATTTCTGTTTTCCACCAAATATTCCTCATTGGTCTTTTATATCTGATGTTTCTCAAAATGTGCAAGTTTCATTGTGTGGTTGTTATTGTTGTTTCACAGAATATATTCTTCTTGCCTCAATCCCTCAGTATTTCATTTATGCCTCAATTACGTTTTCAGAGTTGTTTTAAAGTTTTATCAGCATTCCCTAAGTTTGGCATTTGCGGTGAAACAGATCAACTCAAATCCAAGACTTTTGTCTAACATTACCTTTGGGTTTTTCATCTGTGACAACTATTTTGATGCTCAGTTGACTTATCATTCCACTTTGGAGCTGCTCTTCCGATCAGATCAGTTGGTTGTCAACTACAGATGTGATATCAATGAGAATCTTGTTGTGGCTATTATTGGTGGATTTGGTGCTGATATCTCATTCTTCATGTCTAATATCCTAAGCCTTTATAAAATCCCCCAGGTAAGATGTATGCATTGACATGTATGAAAACCCATCCATAGGGCAAAGTTGTAGGGAATGGAAAACATTTATCAAGTACAAGTTAGATTATGTTGTAATGATGCATCAAAAGGACCTAATGAATTTTGGGAGTTGGATTTAAGCCCTACCAATGTGATGCACCACATTGAATGCACCACATTGAAAAAGAGAGCAGAATCTGAGAATCTAAGATGCTCATCTATTTGCAAGTTGACTGTGACTATGCCAATCACATTCTTGCAGCCAAACCTAGAGGGTTCCTTAGATTAGCAATAGCAATAGCACTTATATACGCTTCATAGTGCTTTACAGTCCTCTCTAAGCAGTTTACAGAGTCAGCCTATTGCTCCCAACAATCTGAGTCCTCACTTTACTGACCTTGGAAAGATGGAAGGCTGAGTCAACCTTGAGCCAGTCAGAATCGAATTGCTGGCAGTCAGGAGAGTCAGCCTGCAATACTGCATTCTAACCACTGTGGCACTACAGCTCATGTTATGTGTATCTTCTTCTACAGTATGCCTGTAGAAAAGGCAGGGTATCAATCTAATAAATAAATAGGATAGTGTTCCATTTATTTAGCATTTATTGAATATAAATTATAATGTTCAGAGTTTCATTTACAATGGAAAATGGAAGTCCATGAAAAGAAACAGCTTGAGAAAAAATGTATGAATCAGCAAACTCTTAAAGAAAATACAGATTAGTAGAGACATTCCAATGGTAAGCAACCAACTGCACACTGTATTTTAGCTTGCTTATGGCTCATTTGCTCCCAAGAAACACGGGACAAAGATGACTGCTTCCTTTTACCGCATGGCTCCCAATGAAACCCTTCAGATTGTGGGGATAATCCAGTTGCTAAAGCATTTTGGATGGATGTGGGTTGGCCTTATAATTCTTGATGATGAGAGTGGAGACAATTTCCTCCAAGCCCTGGAGCCTCTTCTTTCCAAGAACAGGATCTGCTCTGCTTTTGTGGAGAGATTTCCCAAGCAATCATTTTCCTTTATTTTTAAAGGTCATACTATGCAGTGGTTGGCTATTTATTTGGTTGACACCAAAGTCAATACATTCATCTTCTATGGGGAAAGCAGCACAGCGATGCTCCTTTTTCTGTTCATGAGATATATAGAGAACAGCC